GGGGAAACGATCCCTTTTCATCTTTTATGAACTTATTACTGATGAAAGTTCAAACCTCCATAGAAATTTAGCTTTGGGTTAAAGAAGAAGCATGAAAATTGTTTTCCTCAAGCTGAACTGTGAGCATATGGAAGACAGAGGACTCATAATAAATACTAATAGCTGATGGGTTAAGAAATCTGTAATATAGGTTTGATCCTAAGCAGCCATGCTCTAAACTATTATTTAGGTGTCAACAAATCAAATAAATACAGGCTCACTCTAGGAGTACCAAAATGCGCTGTCATCCACTCGCAAGAGTTAGCAGCTGACTTGGGGAAACCTCAAGGTTTGCAGAAGTGTAAACATACTCTAGAATAAACACCCTAAGGGTAGGGTGAAGGACACAAAAGAGCCCAGTGATGATTGAATATTCTCATTGGCCACAGAACACTGTCTGTCTGCAGGGGCAGAGCAATATCCTGGAGAAGCACATGACTGGCTGTAACCCTGAACAGTCCACATGCATGTTTTGCAGGTCCTTCTTGCTATCACTTCCTAAATCCAAGTACTGCCCATGCCTGCCTGGTACCTCTTTCTTGTCCCAACTCAAATGCCCTAAAATGGTATCCCCTCACCTGCTAGGGCTGAGCAAGCAGCCCACCTCTTCCTTCTCTCCCCAGAGTACATAGACCAGGTTTCCTCAAACTCAGCCCTCCAGATGTTTTGAGACTACAGTTCCCATCATCCCTGACTACTGATCCTGCTAGCTAGGGATCATGGGAGATGTAGGCCAAACACATCTGGAGGGCCAAGTCTGAGGAAGCCTGACATAGACAGTTTTCCTGCTACTGTACATTTCCATCTCCTTTGTTTGCCTAGTCATGAGATCTCCCTCTGCAATATGGGAAACTATCAAAGCATGAGACTCCACACCCTTCACAAACTCTACTCAGATTTAGTAATCCCACTCCCTGGCTGCTGTGCCCTGTCTTCTGCTCTTCAACACTCCACTCCATTTCAGGGTCCCTGGCGATGGAGGTATGGGAGAAGAGAGTTCTTCAACACCTCCTCTTGTCTCTCATCCAAATAAGACAGCTAGCTTCTCAAGATCTTTGTGCCCCCATGATTGCTGTATAATCAGACAAGACAGGGAAGAGAGGCAATGAAAGGCCAGCTCTGTATTGGTACATGGAGGAACAGATGCTCCATCTTCCTCCCATTGTATTTGTGTCTGAAGAGAACCTAAATGTGTACAACTGGAGCAGACAGAGCACCCAAGAACTTAACAAAAGCCAGTATTCCTGATAATTCATACAGACACTATATGAATATGCTCTGTTCAGAGTTTCAAATGAATGAATAGAAATCAGAAACATGGAGATCAGACATTGTTCCAATTTATCTTCCCCCCCATGTTCACTGAAATTATGAAAAGGACTGAAATGAATTTGTGTGCTTTATCTGAAGCAATGGTACTTACTGTGGCCGTTTGTCTATCTATGGACAAAAATTGGTTACCCTTTGTAGCAGATAATGATAATTGCGACTATGGTGGGCAACTGCTTTTGCAATCCACTTATCCTGTGAAGGAGCAAAAATTGCCCTGACATTATTTGTGTGTATTAAAGGCTTTCAGTATGTCAGATTCAAAGAAAAGTAAGTTATCATCCACCCTTAGTTGCTGGAAATGTGAAATGTCTGCAGGTATACATGAAAATGTAATCAGATAAGTGAGTAGTGTTTCTAATTTATATTGAGGACTAGTATCATTTTCAAAGAAGTGATTGTGGAAAGATGAGTATTAACAGTAAGACATTTTCTGAGTCCTGGTTTAACTGCATGTGAAATTTATTTGCTTTTGTCAGTATATAGGTAAATGGGAATACAGCTTTGAGGTAAGTGTGTTGAAAACTGGCAAACCTTGTGATTGATTCTAGAATAGGACCTTGCTTGTTTTACTGCTGTGGTGGTAAATATGACCTTGTTTAGTTGGCTTTCAGTAGATTGTATTTTATTATGGCTTTTCCTGTCGTTGAAAATATTACATTGTAGCTTTCTAGAGACAAAGAAAGGGGGGGGGAGGAGAAAAGAAACATATTCTGAAGATATCTATCAGAAAGGACCAGAATGTCCTTTCTTAAATATGCTCTGTATTATTTCAGGACTTGATTTATTTTAAACTATACAAGATTAGAGTGTTCTTTTAAAACATGTTAAGGAAAACTTCATTTATGGCTTTTTCCTGCACCTGCGCAAATGAGTGACAAAACTCCCATTGATTTTGGTGCTGCATCATAAATCTTCTGCTAAGCACTTACAGCAGAGCATCGGGCCATGTCCCCCTGAGAGATTCATTGATCATCTAACTGCACTCCTTTAGCTTCATTCATTCACAATGTTGATAGCAGGGTACACTTGTAAGCATTCTTGAACCGGTCAGAATCTCCAGGAATGCAGCAGAAAACTTGGATCCCTACTACAGAGCAAAGCAATGAGAACGTTGGATATGAATGTCTGGATCTGACAAATAGGGGAAACTGTTTAAATTATAACCCAAGCTTTCATTTCAAAGCCAAATAAATTAGATTGTCACTACAGAAACACACTGCTAACACATGTCTTGTTGCTTTGAGGAACCAGCTGTTTTTAAAGTGTTGTTTTGGGGGGGTTGGGGGTTTTTTTGCATAATAATCCATGGTAGTCTAATAAGCCTTGGCAGGCATGCAATTATTAATGGCATTGGCTAGTGTGATAACTAGCTTCTCATTTAACAGTGCAAATTATTTAGATGGCTGATAATGCTTCTGCTGCGCAGGTTGTTTTTTTTAAGGTTATGGTAACCAAGCAGCAGAGGTTTTGGAAGATCTGGCATATACCGTAATTCAGAGCCTCATCTAGATTGAAGGCTGTTTACTTTCCACAACACGCTTTTTGTCTGTAAACTGAAAGACTAATAATTTCATGAGGTACCTTGTTTTCCTCTAAATTAGCAGGATAAATGAAAAGGCAAACAGTGCGGGAGGTTGGTTCTGTGCATGAATTTGAGATGAGCTTAGCTCCTTTGAATTCAGCACAGCTCATTGGAGGCAAGACTACAGTATTTGATTATGTTCCTTTTCGATCTGAAGCCGCCTGCTAAATTGTTCTTACTTTGTTTATAATTATCTGTTGAATCTGCTGGATATATGTGTCTATAATAAATATTTAAATACGCAAGATTATTAAATCTTCCCATTGATTTATTCAGATGACATTTCCTTTCCACTAGTGAAAAAGAGAGAAAAGGAAGGACATGAACTTGCATCTCATAATGAAACTGAAGCAAAAAAATTGATGCGCCAGCCGCTTACTCAAAGTGACATTATAAGGACATTCATTCTTGAATTTTCTTATTGTTCTCCATGCGAATACACTCTTAATCACACGCGCAAATGTATGCTGCAGTGACTTACTATTATTTATTTATTTATATCTGCCCTTGTTTATTTAAATCTGCCCCTCCTTGCAGATTTATATCTGGGAGGGGTACAAAACATAAATTAAAAGTTTCATACTACGGCCATCAAACAGATTAAAAGAAACAGATGAAATGACAAGAGAAGTCAGCAACAATAACAACTTTCTAAATCCAACCGAGTGAATGAACCTCCCATAAAGTTTATGCTAAAAATAACTGGCTTTTCAGCTGTCAGTTAGACACGGAACCACTAATCAATACATGTTTTGTTTTTAAAAGTAAATGAAGGCTGCACTTGAGAATAGCTGTTAACATATTTGAATGCTATTCTTCATGTGGTTGGGTTTGAGGCGTTCTGCTTAGTATTTTCCACTTAGCCAGTTTAGTCTATACATAGTAGGCAGGACACACAGGCTGAAATCATTAAAGTATGATTGTTGATACCTGCACAGCTAGAGGACAAGAGAGAGAGAGAGCTCATTGCAACAGCTGGCTCCATCATTCTTCTCCCACAAAACACTGGGAGGGCATTGCATCTTGATGCAACATACAGTGTGGTCCCAGTGCTTTCTGGGTGGAGAATAATAGCACAATCATCCTTTTCCCTCAAAGCAAAAATAAAATATAATTCCCACTTGCACTTTCATGAAGTATAATCCCGCAAACCGTTGACTCTTCCATACAACTCTTTTGAATGTAATTTTCATCTGGCATTTTTTTTTTATTAAAAAGAAGAAGGGCAACTCACTTGAAACAGGGGGATCAAGAAAACTATCATTTGTACAATAAATACTTTACTCAGCAAAGCAGGCATGACCACAGAAGAATGGACCACGTGGCTTATAACTAGTACAACTGATAAGCCTCATTCCCAGTTTATTTTACACCTGGAGTCAATTCTGAAGCATTTTATGTTAGGCTTTCCTCCCTGTCACTCTGGGCGAGATTTGGAGCACACTTCTGCTCACACGAGGGGAAGCACTGCAGTGTCTGTCATTGCCACCAAGGTCAGATCCCAGGTCATTGCAGAAGATTCCCCAACTCCCAGAAAGAACTTGGGCAAAGTAGAGGCAGGAAAGCCCCACTGCATGAGTGGAACTCCTTTTACAGCCCTTTCGATCCTACCCATTGAGTAGGATCCAATGGAGCCCTCAGGGAATTCTCTCAGCACAAGGATTTCTCTTTGCACAACAGAATGCCTTCCCCCTGTGGGTCCCTAAATCTGTTTAGGGCTTCCCCCAGCCCTTGGAACAGATTTGGGAAGGACTTGTGCAATTGGCAATCCTTGTGTTTATGGGACTCATTAGAAGACTAACTCCCATTGTTTCTGGATTAAGATTTGGAAATCTTGAGTTTATTAAATCTGTCTAGTTTTAAGGAAGTCATGTAATTGGTGGGTACTTTTTTCAAGATTAAATCTTACAACTGTACTTGAGAACAACACTTGAACTGGTTTGTTGAGCTTCCCTTTGCCAAAGGCCCAGTAGTGTTTTTCTTCTCTTTTCCATTTTTTATGTGATTTCTGTTTCTTTGTTTGTTTACCATTTTTCTTATCATACAGACGCACACATTTCTCCATATCATTACCCAGTCATGTTTGACCATAAGCAGAATAGAGGATGGCACTCGTGGCCCCACAGTGGAGACATGCAATGGCAGCCCCTTTCAAAAGTGGCTACTGAGAAACTACACGCGGCTGGAGGTTTTTAGGAACATTTTTTACAGTCCCACTGACTATTTTCTTTAGCAAATGTCTCAAGGTTGGTATCAAAGGTACAAAAAGGAAAGGCTAAGCTCCTTGCTTGATTGCTTGCTCGCGCTCTTTTCCCAGTTTCTCCCCTCATTTAGTTTTTTACGTAGTGTTAAGATGTAGAAACAACAGCTTAGAAATAGCATTAGTTTATGCTGCTTAGCTCTGGGTGTGTTTAAAACAGTCAACATTAAAAGTCACATTTGATTGTCCTTTGTGGAGTATGTCTTTTCTCTTTTTGCACAACCTTCCCAGTTCCAAAAACTGTTTGTGAATAAGAAAGCATGGCTTTTGTGTTCTCCTTAAATATATAGTAGCAGTTGTATTGATGGCTACTCCTATTCCTTGCTTTAGCCGCTGTGATGCAAAGAAAGTGTTGTTATTGTTTTCACACCTAGAAAGGGCATTCTATGCACTGCAAAACAGATGGGGAAATCTGTGCGGCATGATCCTGGTTTTGCCAGGTCATTAATGCACTGGTGCCAGCAGGGCACGTCAGGTCCAAGGCCCTTAACACCCACATAAAAAATGCAGGATATTCAGATGTACAACCCGAACTCCTGTATGGTACACCATCAGCACTGTTACCCAGCACTGGGTCTACAATGATATTTAAGTTTATTGTCAGTTTTATCAATTGCATTTTGGTTGCTAAAGATGCATTGTTTAGCTTGGCACAAATGCCTCCTCTCAGATATAAGAACTTCCATACAGTAAAACTGGGCCTTTGAGGGCTCATCCAGACTTGGCAGCAAAATGCACTTTCTCCTGGTCTGTTTACCACCTTCCTCAGGTCCGCCTAATTATTTCTTCGGTAATCCATTCTTTTGGGTGTCCTAACATGAAATGGGCATATATTATGTTGCGGACTATGCCACTCCCCCCCCCCAAATTGGCATCCAGCCTCTCCTGCAGCCCCAAACTCACTTCCACCCCATCCCAGTTCCAACCATGGTATTATTTCCAGGGCACTTTTTGAATGGTTTCATTTTTAGTGTGTGTGTGTGTGGTTTTGGAGCAATCTCTCTTTACCTGAATTTATTTTGGGGCTAAGTTCATTCTGAACAAAAGTGAAGTGATTCCACGAGCTGCAAGGGGGACAGGACTCTGTGGACACAAAGAAGAAAAACCATTTCTAGACAGGATTGCAGTCTTTTTGAAAGTTCAAGGTCATAGCTCGCGGGTTCTTAGGGACCCAGCTTTGCTTCTAGGCCATAGTTGTGGCTCCAAGCTGTTTAAGTTGTCTGTGCTCACTGTTGGAAGACTTGATTACTCACATCCATGCATAGGCAGCTCGTGCTCCATGAAAAGTGTTCAGAAAATCTGATCAGTGCAGAATACCACAGTTGAACTCATGACTGGAGACTGTGAGTTGGCATATGCACAGGACACCTATATGGAAATTGCTACATTGGCCACCAGTGTGCAGCCTAAACCTAAAGGTAAATGTAAAGGACCCCTGACAGTTAAGTCCAGTCGTGAATGACTCTGGGGTTGCAGCGCTCATCTCGCTTTACTGGCTGAGGGAGCTGCCGGCGTTTGTCTGCAGACAGTTTTTCTGGGTCATGTGTCCAGCATGACTAAGCCGCTTCTGGCGAAACCAGAGCAGCACATGAAAATACCGTTTACCTTCCCACCGGAGCGGTACCTATTTATCTACTTGCACTTTGACGTGCTTTCAAACTGCTAGGTTGGCAGGAGCTGGGACTGAGCAACAGGAGCTCACCCCATCACGGGGATTCGAACCGCCCACCTTCCAATCGGCAAACCCTAGGCTTGCCGATTGGACCACAGAGCCACCTGCGTCCCGCCTAAACCTATAAAGCCCTTTATGACCTAAGGACCAGGACATCTCAGAGAAACACATTCTCTGATACAATCCTTTCCAAAGGGGGAAACCCTGCTTCAGGTTCAGTCTCTTGGGTCTCCTCAAGAGCCATTCTGTTTTAGCTGACTATTATTTTGACCGTATCTTATGTCCTTTTTAATGTGTGGTTTCATGGAATTGCTGTTTGTGCCCCCCTGGAAGCAGGAGCTGAAAGGCAGCCTAGAAAATCCTGTAAGTAAATACAATTAAATAAATAATTACGTTCTTGGTAATTATCTTGTATAGTAGATACGTATATGTATCTTGGTAGTAGGTACCCAGAAATGCGTCATAAATAAACCCTGAGTATTTCTCAATATGGTAACATCATTTACGAAGCCACCTCAACCCTTTTTGCACTTTTCAAACAGTATCATACCACTTTAAGTGGACACGCTTCCCCCGCCCCCAAAGAATCCTGGGAGTTGTAGTTCATTAAGGGTGTAAAGCATTGTTAGGAGACCCTAGTTCCCCCTCACAGAGCTACAATTCCTTATGGTTTAGCTATAGAACTTTTGACTCTTTAAAGCGGTATGATGCTGTTTTTAAATGTATAGGGCAGATGAAGCCTTAACAGTGCTGTACGAAAGTTATATTAAAAAGAACAAACCCTGCCCATAGGCTTACAAATTAATGGGTGTGTTAGCATGGTCATTGTTTCAAGTCTAGACATTTCCAGAGCATTTTAAGATATTGTTTATAAGGCAAATGCCAGTTTTCCTGTCGATATTTTAGCTTAAGAATTTAAAACATTTGCATCAGTAATGTTACCTGTCCAAGTTGCTGTTGAGCACATGCGCGCGCACACGCAAAGCAGTGGGATTAACTTAACATTTACTCTTTGTCCTAAAATGAATGGGTGTTTTTTCTTTTCATTTAAGCAAGCTTGCATATGCTTGAGTAAGAAAGAAAACTCTTCTTATTTTTAAAAAGCCCATTTTTACGAGTGTTTAAACAGCTAGAGATTGCTGCAGTATAATCATATTTATGGTGAAAAATGAAGTAAATTCTAGACTGTGTGGTTTTGTTGGTAATATTTTCCCAAGGTAATTGGTTGCTGACCAAACAAAGAAAGCTCTTTCTAATAGCATACATAATTATGGAACCAAAGAGGTAGAAGACTGCTAAAAAAAAGCCCAACAATATGTTTGTCTGGCATGAAATTATGTAACAAATACAAAGGAACAGCTGATGGGAGGCAGCATGGTATCAGTTTCCTTGGGTTTGTAGATTTGCAACATCACCAGATTAATTAATGCTAAAATACGTTATTTCAGCAATCCTGAATCTTTTCTATGAACAGCACACAAGTTGCATAGGTTAGCAGTGCAGTTTTGAATGTCCCTTAAAAGGATAGGAAAAGGCTCTGTTCTTACAGAGCTGCAAAATATTAAACAGCCTTAAGGTGATTTAATTTAACAGGTGTAGATGTTTCTTTGGGAATTCCATAACAGTTCGTTCAAAGGAAGAGCAAAACCTCAAGGGAGATGATGCTTCCCCAGTTGAAATTGTACAGCACACAACATTTAGAAATGTGTAACGCATGTCAATCTAGCATGGAATAATGTGTAATTGTTTTGCAAAAGTTTAGATGTTTGTGCAATCTCATCATTGCAAACCATCTCAGGGAAATGGCTTAATTTTGAAATCAGCAATGAATAAACATTTCAGTGGCGTCGCAGCATGCAGTTCTGGTTTTCCTTAATGCCATCTGTGCAGTTGCTAAACAAGAACTTCTAACTCTGAATAAAAAGCTACCAGCCCAAAAGTTTACCATTCTGTTTTTCTGTTATCAGTGATTGAGCAGACCGGCCTCGCAAGGTCTAGATCCATACAGCTGATGGATATTTATGGATAGAGATTATTATTAATAATAATAATAATTAATTATTTATACCCCCGCTCATTTATTATTTATATCCCGCCACTCTGGGAGGCTCCCAACAGAATAATAATAATAATAATAATAATAATAATAATAGCAGCGATGAAACATCAAACATTAAAAACATCCCTAATCAGGGCTGCCTTCAGATGTCTTCTAAAAGTTAGATAGTTGTTTATTTCCTTGACATCTGATTGGAGGGCGTTCCACAGGGCGGGCACCACTACCGAGAAGGCCCTCTGCCTGGTTCCCTGTAACTTGGCTTCTCGCAGCGAGGGAACTGCCAGAAGACCCTCGGAGCTGGACCTCAGTGTCCGGGCTGAATGATGGGAGTGGAGACGCTCCTTCAGGTATGCTTGAAATGAAGTAAATAAATACACAGCCTGCTGAGTCAAGCCAACAGCCCACCTAGTCCAGCACCCTGTTCTCCCAGTGGATGCATGTAGGAAACCTGCAAACAGGACCTGAGTGCAAGGGCAGACAATGCCTAATATTTTGAGAGCAGTGTTTCCCATCTCAGTTTAAAAAGAATAATTGATCTTATGATATTTGATCTAGTGCACAGCTCTGGTGCACTCTGGTGCACTATTTGATCTGGTGCACAGCTGGATGACACAGATATGAATGTTTAATATAATTGTTACATTTCTAGCTAAAAGCAGCAAAATAAAACATGGGTACTACATTTCAGTGATAGCATAGCATCAAGATTTTTATGCTTTTTTTATTTAAAAAAAGAACCCTTCGGGGTTTTTATTAAAAAATCTTGTTTCTTGTGGTTCTGTGGGTTAAAAAAATAAATTGATCGTTTTATTTGATGACATCACTGAAAACAGGCGTACTGGCAATCAAAAAGCTCCCTTAAAAATTACCTCAAAGAAAGAGAAGAATAGCTATGAGACATTGTGACAAAAACAAATATTTCATTAGGCAGCTGGTGAATCAATTTAAGTCTCTGAAAAGCAGGTGACGAAATGGCAGTTCATTACTAGACAGAAAAGATTATAAGGTGGGCTTTTCGAGGAGTATTTTCACATCTTTTAAGGGAAAGGTCATGAAACCATCTAATAATCTTCTTAATCCAATATTCTAATACATTCTGTGGTAGCAAAGCTGGATATCATTTACATTTTTAACATGGCAGTACTGCAGTGAGAGCATGCACTCTCTCTAATCCCTTGATAATCAGGCACTGTTTCATAATAGATTGGGTGGTATCCAATGCTACTCACTATACATGGAGTAAACCCATTGAAATGAATGGACATAGAAAGGATCTCCCAGGGTGAGAGGCTGGGGGAAGAAACAGAAGTTTCCAGGAAGGTCTACTTTTCTCTATATGAATAAAGGATATGATACAATTGAGGTAGAGGGTTTTTAGATCTATTTCTCTTTCTTATTTTTTCCTTTTTCTTTTTTAGACTAGCTTGGTTTTTTATTGTAGTTTATGTTGAAAACATTCAATAAAAATATTAGGAAGGAAGGAAGGAAGGAAGGAAGGAAGGAAGGAAGGAAGGAAGGAAGGGACATGAGTAGCAGGTCTATTGATTTCCATAAGTCTACTGTGAGCAGAACTCAGTTGGACTGAACCCATTGAGCTAACTGGTTTGCAACGTATCAGTAAAGTCTTTGTGAATATATATTTTGTCACAATCTGAACCAAAGCTGTAGTATTCAAAACGTTGCTGCAGAACATTCCTACTAGCCCCTCAGTATTTCAGGAAATTGATCCATTATCCAGACTCAGGTGCTGCTCATCCATTGCTCCTCTGTCTTACCAGAATTCAGATTCAGTTTATTGACTCCTCCCACAGCAAAGTCTGGTACCAGTTGATGAGTTTCATGGCCTTTCCTGATTCAGGATATCTTCATAAATGCAGTGCTATTCCACTGGCCAGAGCATCTTAACCAACATGAAATCAAACACAGATTTCATAATAATTCCAAATGTTCCTACCTTCAGTGTCCAGCTCCAGGCAATTGCTGGTTTTGGCAGTATCGTGTGAATCCCCTGCTCTGTAACATAGGAGGTTGCTTTAGTTTATACCAAGTCAGACCAGTGGTCACTCTACCTCAGTCCTGCTTGAGGGCTCCATATATGTAAGCTGCTCAGAGCTTCCCAAAAGCAGTGTTTATGTTTTAAACATAACATGCTGAAACTTTTAAAGGAGCATATAACGTATACATATATAACTATACAACTTTTAGAAGATACATGAAGGCAGCCCTGTATCAGAAGGTTTTTAATGATTGATATGTTTTATGTTTTTATCTGTGTTGGAAGATGCCCAGAATGGCTGGGGCAGGGTATAAACAAACAAACAAACAAACAAACATACAAACAAACAAACATCACCATCATTACTAAGTACATTGTGTTAATACATAACAGTCATACAGCTTTGTACAACAAAACATTTATAATACACTTATAATACAAGATTTAAGAATTTTTAAAAAGAAGGCCTGAAAAGTAAAAGCTAACTTTGCCAAGTCAGTGAAAAGGCTGCCATAGGCAAAGGGGAATGGAAAAGAAGTATTGCATTGCGGCTGCAGCAGAACAAATCCCAAGCTCACTCTAGTTTCTGGACAAACTCATGAACTGCTCTAAATGGCAGCACTCTTCACTTGGGTTGTGAAGTGTGGGTGGGTTCAGGCAAGACCAGATTTCAGCTCAAAGCAGTTTATTGTAGCAACAAGAACAAGACTGACAAACAGGAGCACTTTGTCCAATATATATAC